CGACAGCATCTGCATCTCGCTGGCGGCCAACACCAAGGGCAGCGGCTTCCTAAGCGGCCACAACGATGGCACCATCATCCGCTACTTTCTGACGGACGACGCCAACGAGCCCCTGGGAAGAGTGGTCCAGCATCCGGTGCCGCCGTTCGCTCTGGCCTGGCCCCAGGGCGGCTTCTGTGTCGGTGGCTGCGATCAGCGGATTGTCTTCTACGACCCGATGGTAAGAGATTCAAGAGTCATCTGTACATTCCCTCAATATGATACCTACCTTTACCTATGTGCTCCACTTTCAGGGTCGCCAGCTACGAACATTCGACTATTCCCGAACCGAGGGAGAACGCGAGTTCACGGTGGCCGCCTGCAGCCCCAACGGGCAGGCGGTGGCCTTCGGCAGCTACGATCGCATACGCATCTACGCCTGGAGTCCACGCCAGGGAGCCTGGAGCGAGAGTGCCAGCAAGGAGGTGTCCTGCCTGTACACGCTGAGCGCCCTGCTGTGGCGTCGGGACGGTGCCCGTCTCGCTCTCGGCTCCGTCAGCGGAGCTGTCCTGCTGTTCGAGTCCGTGCTGAGGCGCACCATCTGGCAGGACAAGTTCGAGCTGATCTTTGTGGCGCCCAGCCAGCTGCTGGTGCGATCGCTGGCCGAGCCCACGCAGCAGCTGACCATCGAGTCGCAGCTGGGCCTGGAGATCGACGATGTGCGGATCATGGGCAAGGACAACTACCTGGTGGCCCGCACCGAGGAGTCCCTGATCCTCTGCGACCTGACGCGCAACCTGGCCAGCGAAGTGCCCTGGACAGCCTCCGGCCACCACGAGCGCTTCTACTTCGAGAACCCCAATGTCTGTCTCGTGTTCAATGTGGGGGAACTGAGTCTCGTGGAGTACGGCGACAACTGCATCCTGGGCTCCGTGCGCACGGAGTTCGTCAATCCGCACGTGATCTCCGTGCGCCTCAACGAGCGCGGCAATGCCCGGGAGAACAAGAAGCTGGCCTTCCTCCTGGACGCGAAGACCATTTGCGTGGTGGACCTGGAGAGTCGCCTCACCAGCGGCCAGATCAACCACGAGACCAAAATCGATTGGCTGGAGCTCAGCGAGACGGCCCACAAGCTTCTGTTCCGCGACAAGAAACTGCGTCTCGTGCTGGTGGACAACTACACGGGCAAGAAGCAGACCCTCCTCAGCAACATCTCCTTTGTCCAGTGGGTCCCCCAGAGCGACGTGGTGGTGGCCCAGAGCCACACCAATCTGGCCATTTGGTACAACATCGATCTGCCGGAGCACGTGACCATGCAGACCATCCGCGGCGAGGCCATCGAAGTGGTGCGCGAGAATGTGAGTATCCCCCTAATTAATCCCCCTAATCCTGTCCCCACTTTCTAATGCATCCGCAACTTGTGTATCCTATGTCTCCGCCCAAAGGGTCGCACCGTGGTGCGCTCCCAGGATGGCCCCAGCGAGCACAGCTACCAGCTGGACGAGGGACTCGTGGAGTTCGGCACCGCCGTCAACGACAGCGACTTTGGACGAGCCGTTCACTTTCTGGAGTCTCTTGGGGACAAGCCGGCGGCCAAGGCCATGTGGCACAACCTGGCGATAATCTCCCTGGAAGACGGCAATCTGCGAGTGGCCCAGCGCTGCTATGCCGCTCTGGGAAACGTGTCCAAGGCATTCTACCTAGCCGAGATGATCCAGGAGGCGGACGCGTTCGAGCTGGCCACCGATTCACCGGGAATCCTCTGTCCCGAGGTGCGGGCCAAGCTGGCTCTCTTGGCATCCGATCTGCGCACCGCAGAGCGCATATATCTCGAACAGGGCGACATCGAGGCGGCCCTGAGGATGTACCAGCAGCTTCGGATGTGGGACGAGGCTGTGGCCCTGGCCGAGAGGCGGGGATATGCGCGATTGGCGGAGCTGAAGCAGCAGCACATGGACTTTCTGCTGAGCAGCGAGCAGCCGGAGAAGGCCGGCCAAGTGCTCGAGGAACAGGGTGAACTGCAGCAGGCCATGGGGCTGTTCCTGAAGGCGAATAAGCCGGCCAGAGCTGCTCGACTGGCGCTGAAGACGCCGCAGCTGCTGCAGGACGAGCATCTGATGCTGCAGGTGACCGAGGGTCTGGTGCACTGCGAGCTCTACGAGCTGGCGGGCGACATTGCCCATCGCCTGTCCCGGCCAGAGGCTGCTTTGGCTCTCTACCGGAAGGGAGGTGCGTATGCCAGGGCCCTGGAGCTCGCGCGCGTCGTGGAGCCGCAGGAGGTGACGGCCCTGGAGGAGGAGTGGGGCGACTGGCTGGTGGGTCGCAAGCAGCTGGACGCCTCGATCAACCACTATATCGAGGCGGGCGCCACGCAGAAGGCCCTGGAGGCGGCGGTGGGCGCCAAGCAATGGCGGAAGGCTGTGCAGATAGCCAAGGTCCTGGACGAGCCAGAGCTCATACAGCGCTATGCCCTGGATCTGTCGAAGCACCTGGCCTTTGCCGGGGACTTGGACGGAGCCGAGGACATGCTGGTGAGAGCCAACCTCCACAAGGATGCCATCGAGCTGCTGAACCGCCACGGGAAGTGGGAGCGGGCGTACGTGATCGGGGAGAAGTACCTGAAGCCGGAGCATCTGCGCGAGCTGTTCGTCCAGATGGCAGGCACCCTGGAGGAGCAGGGCAAATACCGGGATTCGGAGAAGGTTCTGATCGCCGTCAATGAGCCCGACCTGGCCATAGCCATGTACAAGCGTCGGGAGCTGTACGACTCGATGATCCGGCTGGTCGAACGCTACCACAAGGATCTGCTGGACAGCACCCACCTGCATCTGGCGCGGCAGCTGGAGTCGCGCGGCAAACTGAAGAACGCCGAGGTGCACTTCATCGCCTCGGGGGACTGGAAGTCGGCCGTGCACATGTACTGCTCCTCGGGCAGGTGGGAGGACGGCTACCGCGTGGCCAAGCAGAAGGGGACGGACGGGGCCAGCCAGCAGGTGGCCTACATGTGGGCCAAGTCCATGCCCCTGGAGAGCGCCGTGCGACTGCTGAGCAAACTGGGACTGCTGGACACCGCCGTGGGATTCGCCTGCGACTCGGGCCAGTTCGAGTTCGCCATGGAGCTGTGCCGCTTTGCGGGCAAGCCCACGGACGAGGTGCACCTGAAGATCGCCATGTCCCTCGAGGATGAGGGCAAGTTCGAGGAGGCCGAAGTGGAGTTCCTCAAGGCCCACAAGCCCAAGGAGGCGATCCTCATGTATCAGCACGCCGGCGACTGGCGGGCCGCGCTCAACGTGGCCGAACAGCATCTGCCGGATGTCGTGGGCGAGGTGCTCATCGGCCAGGCGGCGGCCGCTCTGGAGACCCGCAACTACAAGGAGTACGAGGCTCTGTTGCTGCGCGCCCAGCGGCCGGATCTCATCGTAGAGCACTACAAGCAGGAGTCCTTGTACGATGATGCCCTGCGGATAGCCGAGGAGCATTATCCCTCGGCCCTCAATGACTTGAGGCGTCTGCAGGCGCAGCTGCAAAGAGGACTGGCCCAGACGGGGGAGGAATCCGTCACCGACTCCCGTGCCTATCTGCAGCGAGCGGCGGAGTTCGCGAAGCGGGAACAGTTCCGCAAGGCCGCCGAGTGCCTAATGCAGATAGATGCCTCCAATGCCGAGGATGCGGCCACCCTGGAGAGGGCCCTCCTGCGTGCCGCCGAGATCTGCAACCAGTTTCTGGAGGGACAGGACGCCCAGGAGCTGGCTACGGCCTTGGGGCCACGGCTGCTGGCCATCAAGCAGATTGGCCCTGCAGCACAGCTCTATCTGGCCGCGGACATGCCCAAGCAGGCGGTGGATGTCTTTATCAAGACGGAGCAGTGGAGCAAGGCCCGGCGGCTGGCCAAAGAAATCGATGCGGATCTCCAGCTGCTCGCCTACGTGGAGCAGCAGCAGAAGTCGTGCCTCAAGCACGAGGGGAATGTCGAGCAGCTGGCGGACATTGACATCATCTCGGCGCTGGATCTCCTGGCGGAGCAGGGCCAGTGGCAGCGATGCCTGGAGAAGGCCAAGCAGCTGAATCCCTCGGTGCTGCAGAAGTACGTGGCCGTGTACGCGGCCCAGCTCATCCGCGAGGGCAACTGTAGCAACGCCCTAGGTCTGTATCTGAGCTATGGGGCGCCTCCCATCGAGGCGCACTTCAACATCTACACGCGGATCGCCCTCGACTGTCTGGCCCTGAGGGAGGAGCAGTCCGAGGGCGGTTCGCTGTGGCGCCAGTTGCGAGACTTTCTCCAGCGCCTGCTGCAATCGCTGAGGGCCTCTCAGGAGCAGGCCCAGACCCAGTTTACGGCCGGCATTGAGCAGTTTCTCCTGATTGCACACTACTATGCCACCAGAGCAGCCTGCAAGGAGGTGCAGGCGCTCCAACCAGTGGCCCTGCGGCTCTCCTTGGCACTGCTGCGGCACACGGATATCCTGCCGGTGGATAAGGGCTTCTACGAAGCGGGCATGGATCTGCGGCAGGCTGGACGAGAGGCGGAGGCTTTCGTCATGCTCAACCACTATCTGGACGTGTGCGAGGCCATCGAGGAGGGCTCTGGCAACTTGGTGGATCACTCCGATTTGGCCAGCACCGATTTCCCCAGCTCCGTGCCCCTGCCCGAGGACATTCACCTGAAGAACGAGCCCAGCCTCCATGAGGAGGTGCGCGAATGGGTCCTGGCCGTCAGCATGGACCAGCAGGTGGATCAGCAGCTGCCCACAGATGATCGTGGCCTGTACGAGTCCAGCCTGGGCCCGAACGATTTGCCCTGCCTGCTGAGTGGATTCCCGGTGCGTGGCCGTCAGCCTGTGACCTTTCAGTCGTCGAGCAACCAGGTGAATCGCGACGTCTGGAGCAAGTTCTCGGTGGCCGTGAAGATGTCCCCGGGCAGTGGCATAGCCGACATCATTGGCTTCACCGAAAAGTGGCAGGGGGCCGCCAACTACGTAATGCACTAATGCACGCACTGCAAAGACTGGTGGGAGTGTCGGTAAGTTGCTCGTAATTAAATTCTGTATTCAACCGTCAATATAATATGCGGACTATAATAATCTGGGCAATAATCTTGGGGGCGTGCTGGAGTGCGATTCGGTCCGGGGACAGCTACGACGATTATATGCAAGTATATGAAGCTTTGTATGTGTCTGTGTGTGTGTGTGTTTGTGTGTGTGTGTATGTGTATGTGTGTGTGTATGTGTTTGTGTGTACGTGTACAATTTAAGGTTTCTTTAAGTAGTTGCTGGTTAAGTGACTCGGACTCTACGGCACTCGGATCGATCTATCATCGTCATTCGATCAATGCAGGGCATTGAAGAGATCGCCTGCGGAGGGCAGTGGTGCCAGTCCGCCCGTGACATCTGGCAGCTGCGTCAGATCCGGCAAATTTGAGAGGTGATCGTGTATCTCCTTCTGCAGGCCCAACATCTTGGCCAGCTTCTTCTTGTGTTCCTGCAAATAGAGACACAGAGCATTAGGCGACGATGCTTGATATTTTTTGCTTGCAAACTGCACAAATCTGCACCGATAGGTGATGTGATTTAATTGGAATTTTGTTTAATTCAAAGCAAAAGATATATAATTTGTACAGAATCGAAACGATAGCCCAAAAGAGGCCTCGAGCATGCTGGCAGGATAGTTAGGAGGTAATGCGGGGTGTGAGAAATATGAGTGGCTCACATGATCTTATTCGCTAAATCAGGAAGAGGTCGAACTTAAATTTGTTAACATATTCTAGGCGTTTCTCTGCTGTAAGCACCACTCATATTGCCACTGAGTTCCACCCTTTTATATATTGATTGATTGGGGAAACGTACATCGAGTCGTGTCTCGGCCTGGGCCAGCAGCTCCTTCTGTTCGGCCTGAAAGTCGCGCAGCATCGCGGCCAATTTGGTGCGCTCCTCCATCTCGGCTGCCAGCCGGGAATTGTACTCGTTGAGCAAATCGACGGCCTCATTGACCTACAAATAAAAAGACACGTTTAGGTTTCCTGCGAGTACTCGCATTTTGTATTCCAAGAGACGCACTTGAGTGGCCAAGGCCTTCGCCTTGTCCTTATCCTCCAGCTTGCTGATGCAACTGATCTCCGATATCTCCTGCGGAAGCTTCGCAATGCGTTCCCTGACCTCGGCATCACTGGAGGCCGAGTTCTCTATGCTCGTGAGAGCCTTGATCAGCTCCTCCGGCTCGGGCGGCTCACCCAGTGGTAGGTAGGGAGGAGTGTGCCCGTTTTCCGGCTCTACAGCCGGTTCTTCTGCTGGGGCTGGAGCACTGCTGCTCTGGTGATGGTGTCGCGGTTTTTTCGACTTCGAATGGCGCTCCTCATGCTTGCGCTTCTCCCTCCGCTCTGACTTCTCTGACCTGCTGCCGCTGCCGCCGCCGCCGCCGGCGTTGCTGCTGTGATCTTTATCTCGCTCCCCGGCTTCGGCGTCGTGCGATTTGCTGCCATTTTTGCTGCTTCCAGACTCCCTGTGCAGGCGGGCACGATACTCGTTTATTGCCTTGGCATCGTAGACGCCGCGCTCCAGCCAAATGTTGAGGATGCGTCCCAGACTGCCCAGGAGCTTGTCGGAGCTGCACTTCTCTCCGATGTGGGCAAACACCTTTCCCAAGACATTGCTGTACTCCCTGCCGTACTCGGGCCCCTTCTTCTTGCTGTTCTGGATGACATCGTTGGCCAGGTACATGAAGGTCAGCTTCTTCGGTTCCGGCACTGGAATGGTGCAAGAATGATATAAGAAGGTTCTGCATGTGAGGGAGTGGGGTTCTACCCACCACTCTCCAGCTCCCGCTGCCAGGTCTTCACTATAGTTGCACTATGCTTGCGGTGGTGAATCAGCCACAAGGACAGGGTCTGGATGCTGAAACAGAAGAGGGTATCAGAATTTGCTATACACATTTGTTGCGGTGATTTTTTTCAATATTGCACCTCTGCTGGCTGCTGTTGAGCTCCGCCAATTTCTTGATCAGCGCGGTCTCTGTAAAGGCCGACATTGCAGCTGCAACTTCCGCCCAATCTGCAAACTCTTAAATATCTATAAAAGGGATTATTCTATATGGGAAGCGAAAAACACGCACGAAAACACACGACGCACGGGAAAAAACAAAAATAATTCTCACAAAATTGACATTCTAGCAATCGACTTATCGATAAAATATACGGTCTGACCCTCAGAAATATACCGAAATATACCCTCTGATTTTCAAAAATATACCGTAAATATACCGCTGAAAAAAAAACGAACTTAGCCGGCCTCTATTTGAACGGGGAAACAACTGAAGTTAAACCGCGCAAAATAATACTATTTGTAAGATCTTCTTGTAGATCAATCTTATCCTTCCACCTAATCTGCGCCAAAATTCTTCAAGATGCATAATTTTCGTGGAGCGTATTTAAATACCCGCTGGTCGACAATGGGCTAATCGTTCGCTGTCCATATTCGCTCGATTCTGATATTCGGTTTGATATTACTAGCTAGCTAGGACCCTCAGCCTAACCACATCATTTCATCCGATTGTCGAATCGATTTTCTACAAGATTGGCTATTTTTAAAGACTCCTTTTTATTATATTGTTAGTTAAATAAGGTTTAAATGAAAGAGGGAAAACCCAAAATGTCCTTGTTTTTACATTGTACATTTACACTTACACGGTAACTACACATTTACTACTTATCAACCATGCATTTATGGAGAATAGACATTTGTATACTCTATTTCCTTAAATTAATGCTAAAACTCTGTTCTATTATTCAGCTGCTTTGAACAACGTCTTTTTCTCAGATTGACATGTTTTTAACTATTCATGCATTTAATTCGATTACTGTATATATGTATATCTCGAACCCGATACATATTTTCGGTATCTGCAAGAATACCGCAAACCTCAACATTTCGTGGAGACTTGCAATTTAGGGACTATTTTTACATATGTACACCTACCAAAAATGTACAATAAATTCATGAAATCGGTCGTTAGAGCCTGGATGACAAACATATTTAATTTCATTTAAACAATTTCTTTGAGCAGGGAATCGCTTTTGATTGCCAAAAATAATTTTTTGAGAAGCTGAGTCAAATTCAATATTCCAAGATTTTACCCCACCCATGCTCTCTGCGATGATGGCCAGCGCGTGCTTATTACGCGCAGAAGTTCAATGGTAAACTAGCTCTTTGCTTTTTCTGATCTAATTTAAGAATAACGGACCAATTTCAATATCAGATATATTAGCAAAACAAGTTTTGAACAAAATTACCGATGAAAAAAGGAGCACGTTTCTGGCACAGGGTTGTATTTGCTCATACTTGCGTTGGCGCGCTTCAATTGCGCGCGCAGTTCAAATTGAAATGTATACTGATTGGTTTTACCTGCGGTACCTGCATTGCAGTCAAAGTGGCAGGCCATTATAGCTTGTTTATCTGACGTAAAGTCAACGCTTATCTGCTTAATTTAATAGGTGAATGTATGGATGGATGCATCATCCATCACAGCCCATCAATCAACAACCCAAAAACTTTTCACACTGATAAGCCAGTGGCTCTCTTTACTCTTCACTCAGCACTTAGCACTCAACCATCGACAGGTGTGTGCTCGGGCGGGGTGTGCAGCTCACTTGGTCGCAGCAGTTCAGGCGGATTGGTCGTGCGGTTCTTATAAGGAGAATACGGGTACGGGTAACGCGTACTAGTACATATCACCCGTAGCGTAGCCACTGGCGTAAGCCTCAACGAGCAGCAATCGACCGCTTATCAGCCCTTGCCAAAGAGTAATTTGTGATACCTGTCCGCCTTGTGTATTGGCTTGTTTAGAGCGCAACGCGCTTAAGTGGTGTTAATTTTTCAGTAATTATTATCGTATTTATTGCCGAACGAAAGTGAAGTGCGATCGAACCCTCCGCTGCCTCCGCTTCCTCCGCCCCCACCGCTCCGTCCAGTGCCGTGTGTCCGTCCGTGCGAAAGGCAATAAATGAATTACAGAGCCATAAAGTTGTCTGATCAGCGTGGTCGGGTTGCGGTCGTCTCGGCCAACTGCAGCTGATAATGGACATGGGAAGTCTACGTGTGTGTGCATGCGTGTGTGTGTATGTGTGCCTGCGAGTGTGATTTACAAATCATTAGCACACAATCAACAACACATTAGACAAATTGCTAAATTAGCTGCTGTTTTTGCATCAGACAAAAAAAAGGCAACAAAACTTTGTTTTATTCGGGAGGGAGACCCAAATCCCGTGGTGAGACTCAGATAGGGGGAAAGAGAGCAAGAGCAACAGCAACAGCAACAGCAAGCGAGCGAGAGAGGTGGTACGGTACGGTACTCGTAATTTTAGCTACTCTACTCTCTCACCCGCAGACCCCAGATAAGTCCCCAGCCATTGAGTGATTCAATTGTTATTGGGGCGGCTTTGTTGTTATTGCTTTTCTGTACCTCTGGCGGATGGTTTTCAGTGGTTTGATCTGATAATACCCATAGATCCGACTGGAATCTGATTAAGGATTGTGGATTGTGGATAGCTGCCGGGGATAGACGAAAATGCTCAGCCCCTGACGACTACGAATGCAATCATGAATTCCTACTTTGATTCGGCCATCGAATACAATCGAACGAACACCATTAACCTGGCGCACTCCAACGATCAATCGCAGAGCTTCTCCAATGAAAAGAACTGGGAATGGTCGTATCTGGTGGTAAGGCAATTGCTCAATCACCATAATTCCTGCCCTATAATCTATACATATTCATACAACCTTTTCTTCTTCCTTCTCTTTTCAGCGCAAATGCCGCAACCTGGAGCTGGAGGAGTCGTACGACCTGTACATGCGTCGCCTGCGGGTGGGCTACCTCTCGCTGTTCATCTTCATCCAGCTGCAGGTCACCATCACGCACACCCTGCTGCTGCTGACGACGCCGGACATAACCTTCGTGTACGTGGATATGGCCGCCTACATAGCTTCCGGCGTGGTCATCTGGCTAATCCTCTCGGTTAACTTCCGCAGCGAGCTGGTCAGCAAGCACGGCTGGGTGGTGTACGTCTCCTCCTGGCTGGCCGTTTGCGTGATGGTGCTGATGGACATCGGCCTGAATGTGTACCATGCTACCAGCCACAACTTCATCCTGAATCCCATCTACGACGCCTACACCCTGTACGCCATCTACATGTTCATGCCGGTGCCGTATCTGCTGCAGCCGTTCGTGCTCGGATCCGCCGTCACCCTGTGCTACATCATCAACTACATATTCGTGATCACCTCCAAGGAGGACAACCAGATGCATAGCATTCTCAACGAAGCCATTTACCTGAGTTGCGTCAACCTGCTGGGCATCTTCTTCCGCCTCATGCGGGACATCGCGTTGCGCACCACATTCCTCGACCGGCGGCAGTACGTGGAGGAGAATCTCCTCTTGCGCTACGCTCGCGACCAAGAACGGAGCCTACTGCTCAGCATCCTGCCTAACCAGATCGCCGATCGTCTGCAGGAGGATGTCAAGAACCGCATCGAACGCTCCAAGCAGCAGCACCAGCAGCGATCTCACGTAGATACGCAGCGGACTACTGACAGTCAGAACCTCAAGCGATGGCGACAGCCGGATCACGGGTCAGTCAACGCCTTCCTTTCCTCGTTCTCATATTCTTCTACTCGTATGATCCTCTCCACAGAACCCTCTTCATTGAACCCCATGAAGACGTCACTGTTCTGTATGCGGATGTGGTCAACTACACCCACCTGACCACCACTCTGGATGTGAAGAAGCTGGTGGAGGCGCTGCACGACCTCTTCGTGCGCTTCGACATTGCCAGCGAGGAGTACAATGTGCTGAGGATCAAGTTCCTGGGGGACTGCTACTACTGCGTGGCAGGGCTGGTCAGTCCCAATGCGGATCATGCCAAGTGCTGTGTGGACCTGGGCCTGCGCATGATCAAGGATATACGCGACGTCAGGTTCGTCTAGCCCTGCACTGTTTTCTCGCAATGATTTGCTACAGCTTCTCCTCTATTTCCAGAGAGAAGCGGCACCTCAACATCGACATGCGCATCGGCGTGCACTCTGGCGACGTGCTGTCGGGGGTGATTGGAGCCGCAAAATGGCAGTTCGACATTTGGTCCAAGGACGTGGACATTGCCAACAGATTGGAGGCTACTGGGGCCACGGGTCGCGTGCATGTCAGTCAGAAGACGCTGTCTCTGCTGGACGGCGAGTATTTCTTCGAGGACGGAACGGAGAAGGCTCGCGAGGATCCCGTGCTGCAGAAGCATGGCATTCGCTCCTTCCTGATCAAGTCACTGCGCGTGAGTACGAGCACATCCCCCCAAGGGCGAGTTTAGGGTTTTGGGGGCACTGCGATACCACACGCACACTTACATCGAATCGAAAGTTGTAGGCCCCCATGCACGATCCGAGACGCGTGCAGCGCGAGCGCCAGGCCAAGAAGCTGAGCGAGGCCAACAAGTCGAACTTCATGCACAACTCCACCCTGCACCAGTACAACCAGGTGCGCAACCAGGCCAAGCTGGAGATGTGTCGCGAGCTGGACAAGATGCCCATCGGTCGGATAAAGTATACTCTAACCCTCACTCCAGCACACCAGCTTGCCCCTCATCCAGTGTCATTGTTCTCTCGTCTAGGCTCACCAAAGTGTTTCGGCGCAGCACTCGTCTCACCCAGGACGAGATTGAGGAGGAGACCTTCCGCCGCAACATCAGCTCGTTCTGTCTGTTCTTTCGCACCCGCAATTGGGAGATGCAGTACATGCGGGAGCCGGATGTGATGCTCAAGTACAGCATTGCTCTCGCCTGGGTGATTTACATGGGACTCCTGACCATCCAACTGTTGAGCAAGGAGTGAGCCATACTCTTATATAATCTTCGCAGTATTCCCAGTGTAATCAATAGTCCTATTTCAGTGCGAGATACCATTACTGGTACATCGATGGCACTACCATTATCCTGCTCACCATGCTGCTGATCGTCTCCTGGTACAAGAAGCTCTGGATAATGTACATGTCCGACGCAGAGGTGTCCGTCCCCACGAGTCGCCTCAGTGGCTGCCTCTTCAACATGTCGGATGTGATGCAGCGCAACTTATTCCTCCGCATCCTTATCTACTTCCTCATCATTTTATCCTACTGCGCTGTGGCCACCATGCAAGTGCTGGGCTGCAGCAAAGACGAGGACTACGAGGATAGCGATCCCACCGTAGAAGATCGGCTTTTCTGCTTTCATCCCTGGGTGAGTCATGAGCCATTCGCTCAGGAACTCTTTTGTCAAATTGTTGTCCCTTTTTGTCCCAGATCCTCACCAACTGCATGACACTGGTTATTGGCATGTCCTTTCTGTTCACACGGATTCCATTCATCATCAAGGTCTGCCTCTCCACCATCATTACGATAGTTTATGCAGCGCTGGTGATATTTGAGTTCAACCACATCTACGCGAACAGCCCGTCCACCAATGTCAACTTCAACGCCAAGTACTCGCACATTCTGCTAATGATCATCACGCTGGGCATCTTCCACTTGATGGAGCGACAAACGGAGTTCATAGCGAAGGTGGACTACAAGTGAGTTTGAGGATGGCTAAGTTTCTTCTCAGTACTTTGACCTACCAACAACAATTCTTCCTGTGCCCTTCAGCTGGAAGCGACAGCTGATGAAGAAGCAGGAGGATGCCCTGATCACCAACGACACCATCAAAGTGCTGCTAACCAACATATTGCCGTCGCACGTGGGTGAGTCCTTTACGGAGAAGTAAACCTTAGAAACTTGCACTGATCTTTAGGGCTTCCATTCCAGCTGACTTCTATTTGTCGACGCAGCTGCAGAACCAGCTCTACTACGAGGAGTACGATAACGTGGCCGTGATGTTTGCCTCCATCAAGAACTTTGACACGGACAAGATAGGACTACGGGTACTGAACGAGATCATCTGCGACTTTGATGATGTGGTAAGTACCTCGCCCATGCCACGGGGATTCATTATTCGTTTTTAACTAGCTCCCCGGTTCTTCCATTAGCTAAACAAATATGCGCAGTGCCTGCGCGTGGAGAAGATCAAGGTGGCCAACTGGACATACATGGCTGCCTGTGGCTTGGACGTGTCCCGCTCCGAACAGGTTAACGCCCCGCAGATGAAGTTCCGCAACGCCTCGCTGATGCCCAATGGTCGTCGCAGTCGCTACGACGGGGGGCGCACCTCCGACTCCGACGGAATCCACCGCGTCCCCTACGGCAATGGCAGCAATATTGCCCTGGACTTGGACCTGGAACGGGGGCAGTACGAGGGCAATGTGATAACTAGTGCCCCGCGCACTAGCAACGTTGGACAGCAAGTCGGCAACAGTAGCAATGAGGTGGTCCTGGTAATGGCACGGTTTGCCCTGGATCTGATGCGGGCCATGCGCCGCTTCAATGCCGAAAACATGCAGACAGAGTACGAGGGCAGCACCGACTACGGCATGCTGAGGATCGGCATCTCACACGGCCGGGCTATGGCCGGGGTGGTGGGAATATCGAAACCACACTACGACATATGGGGCGACCCGGTCAACATGGCCTCGCGCATGGACTCCACGGGGGTGCCTGGCCAGATCCAGGTCACCGAGAACACGGCCATCAAGCTGCGGGAGTTCAACATACAGTGCAACTATCGGGGCATGACTTTCGTCAAGGGGCGTGGCAACATTCCCACCTACATAATAGGCACCGACAGCGAATACGAGTTCCTGCCCCATCGTCCATCGAGCCCCAACACAAAGAAGACTAGCTGAATTTAATAGATATTCGATTTTAAGCTTCCATGTATATAAATACTTACATTATAATACCCAAAATAAACTAAATAAATTTGACAAGGACTCCATTAAAATCAAGGACTTTTTCTGATCATAGGAACCCATAACGGGCCCATAATCGGTCCTTAAATAGCGCACAAACATTCTTGATCCTTGATAAGGACTCCAAAACAAACAGGCTTTTGCGGTCACATGAAGCCATCATTGAATTTGTCAAAAAATGATGATCCCACGATCCTGGGAGAGTAGGTCCTTCGCCGATCTGGCCCTATTTGCCTGAGATATAGCCTCCCGAAAATGTTAATTTAGACATCATGAAAATACTGGTTTTTTCTGCACGCTATATCTCGACTATTGATGGGCTGATCTGGGCGCGGCATGTCTTTTCGTGATCGGGAGAGTCCTGCCAACCGATTGGCATCAGAAAAAAGGACATCGAGCTCATCGCGATTTTCGCAAAATATCATGATGGTTACATCATTGAATTTGTCAAAAATCGGCCTCATTTTCGTGGTCGAGATTTTGATGCCATTCGACAGGCTGGATCCCTAGGATCCTGGGAGAGTAGGTCCTTCGCCGATCTGGCCCTATTTGCCTGAGATATAACCCTCCGAAGAAGTGGATTTGCATTTCACGCAAATACTGGTTTGTTCTGCAGGCTATATCTCGGCTACACAGCGGCCGATCTGGGCATGGCATGTCTTTTCGTGATCGGGAGAGTCCTGCCAACCGATTGGCATCAGAAAAAAGGACATCGAGCTCATCGCGATTTTCGCAAAATATCATGATGGTTACATCATTGAATTTGTCAAAAATCGGCCTCATTTTCGTGGTCGAGATTTTGATGCCATTCGACAGGCTGGATCCCCACGATCCTGGGAGAGTAGGTCCTTCGCCGATCTGGCCCTATTTGCCTGAGATATAACCCTCCGAAGAAGTGGATTTGCATTTCACGCAAATACTGGTTTGTTCTGCAGGCTATATCTCGGCTACACAGTGGCCGATCTGGGCGTGGCATGTCTCTTCGTGATCGGGAGAGTCCTGCCAACCGATTGGCATCAGAAAAAAGGACATCGAGCTCATCGCGATTTTCGCAAAATATCATGATGGTTACATCATTGAATTTGTCAAAAATCGGCCTCATTTTCGTGGTCGAGATTTTGATGCCATTCGACAGGCTGGATCCCTAGGATCCTGGGAGAGTAGGTCCTTCGCCGATCTGGCCCTATTTGCCTGAGATATAGCCCTCCGAAGAAGTGGATTTGCATTTCACGCAAATACTGGTTTGTTCTGCAGGCTATATCTCGACTATTGATGGGCCGATCTGGGCGCGGCATGTCTTTTCGTGATCGGGAGAGTCCCGCTAACCGATTGGCATCAGAAAAAAGGACATCGAGCTCATCGCGATTTTCGCAAAATATCATGATGGTTACATCATTGAATTTGTCAAAAATCGGCCTCATTTTCGTGGTCGAGATTTTGATGCCATTCGACAGGCTGGATCCCCACGATCCTGGGAGAGTAGGTCCTTCGCCGATCTGGCCCTATTTGCCTGAGATATAGCCTTCCGAATATTTTGATTTGCATTTCATGCAAATACTGGTTTATTCTGCAGGCTATATCTCGACTATTGATGGGCCGATCTGGGCGCGGCATGCCTTTTCGTGATCGGGAGAGTCCTGCCAACCGATTGGCATCAGAAAAAAGGACATCGAGCTCATCGCGATTTTCGCAAAATATCATGATGGTTACATCATTGAATTTGTAAAAAATCGGCCTCATTTTCGTGGTCTTGATTTTGATGCCATTCGACAGGCTGGATCCCCACGATCCTGGGAGAGTAGGTCCTTCGCCGATCTGGCCCTATTTGCCTGAGATATAGCCTCCCGAAAATGTTAATTTAGACATCATGAAAATACTGGTTTTTTCTGCACGCTATATCTCGACTATTGATGGGCTGATCTGGGCGCGGCATGTCTTTTCGTGATCGGGAGAGTCCTGCCAACCGATTGGCATCAGAAAAAAGGACATCGAGCTCATCGCGATTTTCGCAAAATATCATGATGGTTACATCATTGAATTTGTCAAAAATCGGCCTCATTTTCGTGGTCGAGATTTTGATGCCATTCGACAGGCTGGATCCCCACGATCCTGGGAGAGTAGGTCCTTCGCCGATCTGGCCCTATTTGCCTGAGATATAGCCTCCCGAAAATGTTAATTTAGACATCATGAAAATACTGGTTTTTTCTGCACGCTATATCTCGACTATTGATGGGCTGATCTGGGCGCGGCATGTCTTTTCGTGATCGGGAGAGTCCTGCCAACCGATTGGCATCAGAAAAAAGGACATCGAGCTCATCGCGATTTTCGCAAAATATCATGATGGTTACATCATTGAATTTGTAAAATATCGGCCTCATTTTCGTGGTCTTGATTTTGATGCCATTAGACAGGCTGGATCCCCACGATCCTGGGAGAGTAGGTCCTTCGCCGATCTGGCCCTATTTGCCTGAGATATAGCCTTCCGAATATTTTGATTTGCATTTCATGCAAATACTGGTTTATTCTGCAGGCTATATCTCGACTATTGATGGGCCGATCTGGGCGCGGCATGCCTTTTCGTGATCGGGAGAGTCCTGCCAACCGATTGGCATCAGAAAAAAGGACATCGAGCTCATCGCGATTTTCGCAAAATATCATGATGGTTACATCATTGAATTTGTCAAAAATCGGCCTCATTTTCGTGGTCGAGATTTTGATGCCGACCGACAGGCTGGATCCCTAGGATCCTGGGAGAGTAGGTCCTTCGCCGATCTGGCCGTATTTGCCTGAGATATAGCCCTCCGAAGAAGTGGATTTGCATTTCATGCAAATACTGGTTTATTCTGCAGGCTATATCTCGACTATTGATGGGCCGATCTGGGCGCGGCATGCCTTTTCGTGATCGGGAGAGTCCTGCCAACCGATTGGCATCAGAAAAAAGGACATCGAGCTCATCGCGATTTTCGCAAAATATCATGATGGTTACATCATTGAATTTGTCAAAAATCGGCCTCATTTTTGTGGTCGAGATTTTGATGCCATTCGACAGGCTGGATCCCTAGGACCCTGGGAGAGTAGGTCCTTCGCCGATCTGGCCCTATTTGCCTGAGATATAGCCTCCCGAAAATGTTAATTTAGACATCATGAAAATACTGGTTTGTTCTGCAAGCTATATCTCGACTATTGATGGGCCGATCTGGGCGTGGCATGTCTTTTCGTGATCGGGAGAGTCCTGCCAACCGATTGGCATCAGAAAAAAGGACATCGAGCTCATCACGATTTTCGCAAAAAATCATGATGGTTACATCATTGAATTTGTCAAAAATCGGCCTCATTTTCGTGGTCGAGATTTTGATGCCGACCGACAGGCTGGATCCTCGCGATCCTGAGAGAGTGGGTCCTTCGCCGATCTGGCCCTATTTGCCTGAGATATAGCCCTCCGAAGAAGTGGAGTTGCATTTCATGCAAATACTGGTTTGTTCTGCAGGCTATATCTCGGCTACACAGTGGCCGATCTGGGCGTGGCATGTCTCTTCGTGATCGGGAGAGTCCTGCCAACCGATTGGCATCAGAAAAAAGGACATCGAGCTCATCACGATTTTCGCAAAAAATCATGATGTAACCATCATTGAATTTGTCAAAAATCGGCCTCATTTTCGTGGTCGAGATTTTGATGCCGACCGACAGGCTGGATCCTCGCGATCCTGAGAGAGTGGGTCCTTCGCCGATCTGGCCCTATTTGCCTGAGATATAGCCCTCCGAAGAAGTGGAGTTGCATTTCATGCAAATAATGGTTTGTTCTGCAGGCTATATCTCGGCTACACAGTGGCCGATCTGGGCGTGGCATGTCTCTTCGTGATCGGGAGAGTCCTGCCAACCGATTGGCATCAGAAAAAAGGACATCGAGCTCATCACGATTTTCGCAAAAAATCATGATGGTTACATCATTGAATTTGTAAAAAATCGGCCTCATTTTCGTGGTCGAGATTTTGATGCCATTCGACAGGCTGGATCCCCACGATCCTGGGAGAGTAGGTCCTTCGCCGATCTGGCCCTATTTGCCTGAGATATAGCCCTCCGAAGAAGTGGAGTTGCATTTCATGCAAATAATGGTTTGTTCTGCAGGCTATATCTCGGCTACACAGTGGCCGATCTGGGCGTGGCATGTCTCTTCGTGATCGGGAGAGTCCTGCCAACCGATTGGCATCAGAAAAAAGGACATCGAGCTCATCACGATTTTCGCAAAAAATCATGATGGTTACATCATTGAATTTGTCAAAAATCGGCCTCATTTTCGTGGTCGAGATTTTGATGCCGACCGACAGGCTGGATCCTCGCGATCCTGAGAGAGTGGGTCCTTCGCCGATCTGGCCCTATTTGCCTGAGATATAGCCCTCCGAAGAAGTGGAGTTGCATTTCATGCAAATAATGGTTTGTTCTGCAGGCTATATCTCGGCTACACAGTGGCCGATCTGGGCGTGGCATGTCTCTTCGTGATCGGGAGAGTCCTGCCAACCGATTGGCATCAGAAAAAAGGACATCGAGCTCATCACGATTTTCGCAAAAAATCATGATGGTTACATCATTGAATTTGTCAAAAATCGGCCTCATTTTCGTGGTCGAGATTTTGATGCCGACCGACAGGCTGGATCCCTAGGATCCTGGGAGAGCAGGTCCTTCGCCGATCTGGCCGTATTTGCCTGAGATATAGCCCTCCGAAGAAGTGGATTTGCATTTCATGCAAATACTGGTTTGTTCTGCAGGCTATATCTCGGCTACACAGTGGCCGATCTGGGCGTGGCATGTCTCTTCGTGATCGGGAGAGTCCTGCCAACCGATTGGCATCAGAAAAAAGGACATCGAGCTCATCACGATTTTCGCAAAAAATCATGATGGTTACATCATTGAATTTGTCAAAAATCGGCCTCATTTTCGTGGTCGAGATTTTGATGCCATTCGACAGGCTGGATCCCCACGATCCTGGGAGAGTAGGTCCTTCGCCGATCTGGCCCTATTTGCCTGAGATATAGCC